TGGTGTGAATTAGATCAAACGAAATATGTTACAAAATCTCGATCATATTTTTGAAGCATCAGAAACATCTCATAATACATAATTTCAAGGTTCATGTTTAACAGAATTAACATACATTTTCATTAATTTTTAGCTAGAAATATGTCCCCTTCTCTTCAATAGTAATTCTTTTACTTTTATGTTGGATTAAACTTTTTGATTATCTCTTCCCAAATAGTTATTTTTTAGTTTATTTGATTTTTAAAATTTTCTTTAGAATTTCAACATTATAAAACTAAAGTTATGTTTTTCCTTATTATCTTTGGATACTAACAAAAGTTTAAAGCCTATGTTTTCGCGCGGGTAGATTACCTAGTATAATATAATGTAGATAAATAAATATAATATAATATAAAGCTTAGAAGATAATTAAAATTTTGTGTTTTAAGTTGGACTGTTATAATAATTTAAACATTAAAGGCAGTTAGTTCATTCTTTTAAGATAGTATAGATAAAAAAGAAAGATACAAATTTGTCTAACTTTAATTTGATATAAGATTTTAAAAAATAAACAACACTTTTAATTTAAGGGATGTGTGTGTGTGTGTGTGTGTGTGTGTGTGTGTATATATATATATATATATATATATATATATATATATATGTCTTTTAACTTTGTGGTCTTAAATATACTCCTCCACCACCATCCCAGAAAAAAGGATATTCTATATTAAACTGAATAAAAATAAAAGTATAACAAATAAATTTTAAATGGAGGAGAACTTATTACTTCTAGCTTGGACTCTTCAAACATGTATTTGATCAAACCTTTTTCGCCAACAATTTGAGACTTTTCAAAGCTTGAACACCAAGTTGTAGTTTGTACAAGACAAATCAGTGAAATTCTTGTCTTGTAGAAGTTGCTGAAGAAGTATATTTATGGCTATGAAAATGAGTACATTTTAATTATCCAGATACTCTTCTCATTTAGTTGAGTTAGTACATTCTCCTTTTCATTTTTTATTGATCTATCCGATTTACCCACAAAAAATATTGTAATTGCATAATTGAACAACGCTCACAATCTTTCTTGTTATAAGAAGAAGAATACAAAACTTAGGGCCCGTTTGACCATAGATTTTTCAAATAATATTTAGAAATTTTTTTGGCGAATAGTGTTTGTCCATACAATTTGCCATTATTTGGAAAATATTTCAAATTTCTAGTTACTAATTTTTTCTAGTAGTTGGGTCAAATCTCATTATTTGGGATCTTTGAAAATTGAAATTTTACCTCAAACTTTTATATTTTACAAAAACACCCTATATAGTAATTATGAGTTGTATTACATAATTTTTTACATGAACAATAAAGTAGTGATGAAATATTCAGTCAATATTAAATGATGATATGGTTGTAGATGAAAATGATTACCCATCGGGTAACAAAGTCATGTGCTTTGTGTACTTCACGATGTATAGAATGATGTTTGTTGCACTCATTCCAAACTACCACATTGCTCTAGTTTCATGAACACTATTTATTATTGTTGCAACGAAGATCCAATTGACTTGTAATGCAAGCTTATGATTTGTTTTGATAGTTTTTAAGAACTTATGTGTATAAATCATATTTTTAAAAAAATTAAAATATATTTTTCAAATACTATGGCCAAACACAAGGTGAAATTTCACCCACATGATATGTGCCAAGAATATTTGAAAATCTATGGTCAAACGCTAGCTTACAAAATTGTAGTTTAAAGGTGGGAATAAAATCACTCTATTTATAGAAAAGAAATTATAATATGAAAATGTATTTATCGCACCTTCTCTGATAAGTCACAACCCTTCAAAAAATTATAATTTTTCGAAAATGTCATAACTCATCGAAAAAGTCATAATTGTATCAAAAACTTGCAACCATTCAGAAAAGTCATTACCCATCATGTGAAAAGGTGAAAGCTTTTAAAATAATTAAGAACAAATAAATTAATCTATTATAAAATATAGAATATATACTTAATTGGGTATTTTATGTTGGGGGTATTATAACAATCTAATATTCAAGTTAGGGAGATCATACTTTTAATGTAGTACTAGTTTTACTGCACGCGTGTATAGTATGTATAGTTTACGATGTTGAAATGTATTTAAACGATTAATACATTTTGAGATCAGAATGATCAATATCATTGAAACATTTCAAAATAGATTTAAATTTCAAATATGCGGAGAAAGTGACAATTTTTATATTTATACATAATATATATTTTACAAACTACTATTACTCAATTTATATTTGAGTAAGACTTTCATAGAAAGATAATTTTACAAGCAAAAAGTGTAGTTAGTTGTTATAACGAATGATTCAATAGAAGTTTGAGGGTATGCCAAATATGTAGCTTGACCAGTGTTCTAAAAGAAAGGGGTGTAAGCCTCGAGACACGGGCGTAATTTCCATGGATTTACGGTTCGTAGTCTCGTGTATATTCAATTCATAGTTTTATTACTAATAAAATAAAAAAAAAAGCAAACCTGGCATTGATTTTATAAATTAGTTTTTATAAATAAGGGATAATGCACAAGTACCCCCTCAATCTATGCCCGAAATCTCAGAGACACACTTATACTATACTAAGGTCCTATTACCCCCCTGAACTTATTTTATAAGTAATTTTCTACCCTTTTTTTGCCTACGTGGCACTAGTTTGAAAAAAAAGTCAACCATCGTTGGACCCACAAGATAGTGCCACGTAGGCCGAAAAGGGGTAGAAAATTATTAATAAAATAAGTTCAGGGGGGTAATAGGACCTTAATATAGTATAAGTGTGTCTCTGGGATTTCGGGCATAGATTGAGGAGGTACTTGGACATTATCCCTATAAATAACCTATAATATACAGAAATTATATTGTGATTTTTATTTGAGATAAGCATTTATAATCAATAATGAGAAACAAAAAGTATCATAATTACTATTTGAGAAAAATCATTACACCCATGATAAAAAAATATTTAAAGCAATAAAGGTTCAAAAAATAAATTTAAAACGCCCAGACCTACCTTTTTACGCCCAGGATTTACGTTTTTATACTCAAGACTTGCGCTTCAAATTTTAGAACTCACGCCTTATGGATCTATGCATTTAATTTACACCCGGAGCGTTTTTGGTACGCCCCGCCTCGAGACTCGCCCCAAAAATATTTTTAGAAAATTAAACTTGACCAATTATATATATATATATATATATATATATATATATATATATATATATATATACACACACACACAACATCACTTATGGTAAATAATATTTAATTTCTTTAGTTTCTACCTTAACTTTGTGGAGTTATAATCTTCTCTTTTTTTTCTGCCGCATGCATATCATATAATTGTTGTCTAATAAAAGTATCTAGTATCTTATAGAATTCGTATCGTGATATAAAATATTAAATTTTACTAATAATCAAAATTAATAGATAAATAAAATTTAAAGTATTATTCATAGAATATTTTATTTCATTTAAGATCATTTTATGAGCAATCACAATTTTCTTATTTATTTTTATATAGTTTTCAAGTAGTGTATCTTTTGTAATATTTCCTCAAATTATAATGAACACAATATAACATAGAATTCATATTCAAAAAATTTTATACTCAATGTAAATATTAAAAAAATAATTTATGGAACAATACATAGCCAATTAAGAAGGAAAACGAATAAATAAGTTCATGTTATATTCACTCTAGTGTTCCATTTGATTGAAACTCTTGCCACAACCACTTTATTTCTCATTCATTTTTACTTACATATCCTATAAAAAAAATAATTATTTTCATGGTTATGTTATCATATAATAAGTAAACAGTAAAAAACTATTTTTAAAATAGTGGATTGAACATAAAACTAATAACTCAATGGACTATTTTTGTGTCGTTGTTTAAGCAAAATTTGGAAGAAATTCCTTCATTTGAGGATAAAATAATAAGAAAGTAAAAAATAAAGAAGTATTTTACCCAAATCATGTGGCTTTTTCATATTTGTTTATTATTGTTATGCCTCTCACAATTTCTTAACTCATGATAATCGTAAGAAAAAAATGAGTGTTAAATGATGAATGATTTGCTATAATTTTTTCATGAACTCTTTCTAATGTGGTAACTTGAATTTCATTGAATTTCGAACTTAATCAATTGTTTATAATAACACTTGAGATTTTTAAGAAGAAGAAGAGAAGAAACTTACAAAATTCGTAGATTAAAAGTGAGATGATATCCCTCTATTTATAACTAACATATAGTAGTATGAATCGGTGCTAATTGTGTCTTATTAGAAAAGTCACAACCTTTTGAAAAAGTCATTGCCTATTGGAAGAGTCACAACTCATCGAAAAAGTCACAACCCTTTGAAAAAATTACAACCCTTTGAAAGAATCACAACACTTCGAAAAAGTCACAACTCATCGAAAATGTCACAATCCTTTGGAAAAGTCACAACTTATTAAAAAAGTCACAACCCTATAATGTGAAAGGTTTCTACTTTTTATATAGTAATAAATTGAGTATTTTTAATGGGGGTGTTATAGTAATTTAATATTTAAGTTTGAGAGTTAATGCTTTTAAGGTTATATATATATATATATATATATATATATATATATATATATAGATAGATAGATAGATAGATAGATAGATAGATAGATAGATAGATAGATAGATAGAAGATAGATGAGTAACTAAACTCAAAACTATTGTTATGAAAATTAGAGTAGGGATGATGATAATAGATTATTTACATTAAAATTAATTTTCTCAAAGGGGTGATCATTGCATATTGAGGTTTCTTTCGTTAAGACTGTTTTTATGGTTTCAAACATTAAGAACTTGTCTGTATTTTGAGTTGTTTGACAAAGGAGGTTAAGATTAGGAAAAAAATTATTAACAGTAATTTGGAGCTATCGACCTCCATCTAATAACTTGAGCTATAGATATGATAGCTAACCTTCTTGTGCAATGATGAGAGTAACATGATTAATTTACCAACAAACAATTCTATAGATTTATCAAAAATTCATAGAGCTAGCATACTCAAAATCATGGAGTATGTACATCATACATGAGAGTAAGTTGAGAAGCACGTGTTGGTTAGTATTTCTTGGTTAATCCAGATCCACTATTCACCACCTCTGCAGTTAAGATCTCAATTGGGAAATCACAGTCTGGAGTGGAAGGATTATTTGTTGTCAACGTTGCTCCTAACAATTTGCATTTCTTCATATCTTGATTACCCATTTGGTAAAGCATATTATATGCATAAGACACCTTCTCTGTGAAACTGAGGTGATCACACGTTGCACCAGCGCCAAACGCACTGCAGTCTGATTTCGCACAGGCAAAGTCGTAATCTTTCAACACTAGAGTCTCATTGTGATCCGTTTTACCATCAAACACACACCATCTGTTTGGCATTCGCACAGTACCTATTTAATTACGATACCTAACAAGTCATGCATTATATCGAAATATAATTGAACATTTAGTAATTAAGTAGTATATGTATATATATATACCTTTGGCAACGGAAGGTTTGATATCTCGGTCTTGCAACGTGAAATCAATTTTATACTTGGGAACACCATCGTGTTTATAGATACCCCAATGTCGTTGATAAGGTCCATAATCTGTAACAACCATATTCTCATCTGTTAAGCCAAGGAGATACATATCTATATCTCTATTTGGGCGTAGTGGAGTTCCCTCCTTCTTAGCAATATATTGAAGAAGGCCGCGATAAAATCTTTCAGCATTTTTTTCACTTGCACTCGCATATCCATCTGTAGGCCAACCAATTTGTCCGACAACAATCTCCATATCACCATAACCTGCCTTTGCTAGAGCAGAAACAAGTGTATCGTATATGAAAGCAAAGAGATTAGTATACGTGTTCTTGCCATCTACGACTTTGAACTTGGATTTGTTATCAAAGAAAGCAAAGTCCACATCAAATCCGTATAGATTAACCGAATAGATTGGGAAGATATGGATAAAGAGAGGGGCACCAGTTCTGTTAATGCAATCAAGAAATTCCAACATTTTCCCCTTTATGTCTTCTCGAAAATCACCTTCAGATGGCTTGCTCACATTTGTTAAGATGTCCGTGAAATGAGGAGTTGTTGCTTTGACATCTGGGAGGTTGAATTTATCAAGGGCATCTCTCGCCATCTTCAGGTAACGGATAGTACCATTAAATTGTTTTTTCATATATAATGACTTCGTAAAGGGTTCGTTCCCCACGTACACATACCTACAAATCAATAACTTCAACTTCAAATCTAGATTAATGTAACAACAACAATGAATAATAATAATAATAATAATAATAATCTACCTGAATTTAACTCCTTGGTCTGTATAAACCTTGACACGTTCATGAATATAATCGTCCATTTGTTTTTGCTCGACAATATTTCTTAAAAAGTTCTCTTGTAAGGTGATGCCGAGCCCAATATTGGTTTCAGCAAAAGCATCAAGAACATTAAAACTCGGTTGAAAAAGTCTCAACTCTGGGATTCCATTTTGTAAGAGTAAATCCACAACCATTGATGGAACAAACTTTTGTGTTGCCATCCTCCCCCAATTTATGCCCAAGTAAGCTCTTACATGTATCTCACCACAAAACAATATCAATGACATCAATAAACTTATCCATAGCGAACTTATCTTTCCGTACATTTTAGAATTTCCACAATCATATATGAAGGCGTCTGTAATGCAGCTCGCCTAATAGAACCAGTCCGCTCTATGTTTGTAATTATGAATATAAGTTGAAAAAGGATCATAACTTTTTCAAAAGAATTAGACATGCAATGAATATACTTGATGTATTTGTGTGATTCTGCATGATTGTCGCAAAAATATTTCGAGTGGTTCACAATATTATGAGATGAACATCATTTCTATCATAATAATGAGGAGTTTCTCTTGCAATACAACCTTTAATTTAATTAAGCTCAAAAATAAATAAATTACAATCTTATTTTATCTTTTTATCTTATATAATTTATATATATATAAAAGAGAATCCTAGGACCCATCACAAGTTGGAATTTCCTTTTATTTTACTCTCTCCGTCTCAATTTATGTGACACTTTTTGAATTTCGAGAGTTAAACAAGTTTATCTTTGACCGTAAATTGTTCATATGTCTCTTAATTATTTTGAATTGTCAATTATTGTGACTTAAATAGTACTTTTTATATAGTTTATAAATATATAAATTTCATTTTAAACATATCAAACTTAAACTGTTTGACTCTCGAAAAAACGAAATCTGTCACATAAATTAGGACATATATAGTAATATATTTCCAAAAGCGCCCTTCCCCTCTGCAATAGGAAGGCGAACATCAAATGCCACTTCAACCTTATCATTCTCCAACAGGCGATCCACTTCAACATAGTTTTGCCATTTTTTCGCTTCTCTCTCGCATAGCATATGGATTGATAGACAGGGTGCAAGCAATACAAAACAGAACACCATTAATAAATTACCTAGTGCTCCTAATTTTCTTTTACTTCATCAGAAGGGATGTCACGATGTGCATCGATCAAGCTATGTTAGGTATCCTTCGTCAGTTATGTCACTATCATCCATTGCCTGGTGGCAAGTTATATTGACATACTCTGTATATGTAATGTGTTTGTATAATGTGTGAGCGTTGAGGTTGACACTAATCGGAGAAGGACAAGGAAGATAACAAGAAAACAAATAATAGGCGAGGCGAGGAAATAGTGGTTGCTATATGAGCTTAGATATACGAGGAACTAAATAATAGCAAGTATGGACTGAGATAAGACTGAATCCCCAAGTCGCAACTCTTCATTTTCCATTCCAACCTTTTTAAAATTAAATAGTAACACATAGAAAAAATATATATAAGGGGACTACTCCACCAAAAGACCAAGAATTTAATCCCTTCAACGTATAGTTTTCAACAGCTATAAGAAAATTAATATAGCCCATAAATATGATGGTTAAATGGATATTAAGGTATTTTCATAATAAGTAATAATCACTCATTAAAGCTAAATAATAGTGAATAAATAAAGAGTCATTAATAATAAATAGAATAACGAAAGAATCTTAGATAATAATATGAATACTTTTTTTTGAGATACTAAAATTATTTTTCCAACAATTCCCTACATATTTGAAAAAGAATATTACGAAATAGAATGAAATAAGAATTTTTGCTTGATTTTGACATATGAGTCTAATGCATCGAATTTGGTGTCCGTAGACTATGAACCAGACCTATAAAACAAGATTATACTTTAGAATAATTTGGTGATGTTTAGAACTTCTGTGAACCAATAATTCTTTTGTAAGTCCAATGTCTTATTATATCACATTGTACTCACACAATCTTTGTCGTTATTGCAATTTTATGCTAAGCAGCCATGCATGTGTCCTGGTATTCACGAGTGCTCTAGAAATATGTCACAATTTCATAGAAGCGGTACCACTTCATACTCATATAGGTCTAATCATCAAGTGTATTCTGCAGAGCAATACATCACCTATAAAGGATATGACTTGGATTAAGAACTCTTACTCTGCCTCACTTTGTTTTGTAGATTATCACACTATATTCACACATCATAGGAGGGACAAAACTTTATAGTATTTACTTAATCAACTAATGACTTGTTATTACTCATATGAACCTAATTCATGGATCTCCAATCACATAGGTTGGGTTACCATCATTGTTGATCTTCTCAAATGACTAAAGGTCTTTACTCCCCTTAATGTTTCATTAGTGTGTGAACTGATCAGATTCACCTCCGACTACACATAATTTATTTTTGTAAATAATTCATCCACTATAGTCGCTTCTTCAAATTGTGTCTCAAACACATGTATCAATTTAGTCACATAAAAATTTATTTTATTCCAATTGGAATACACACTAAGAGTTGTCCTAACCACTTAGTCTCATCACCAATCAACTCCACAACAACTAATTCTAGTTAATTGTTTTTATATTATGGCATCCACAAAATATACCAAATTCTTTTGCCTTTTTCGTAATATATTGTACTCTTTTGTACAAAAAACTGTTCACTTATTCAATATTGTACTTATTGTACCTCTCATGTATTACCAAATGCACTTTTCAACATAATGCATCAAGAAGCAATATAATTTTCAATAAGAACATGAATAATATAATCACTTCTTTTAAAACCTCAACATTTTTTTTCCTCCTCAAACATTAACATCCAATCAAATAACAATTAACTATCACAACTATGTAAATGCAATATTTATCAACTTACAATTAAAATCTTAGATCATGTTTTTCTTTATACTTTTCTTTAGGATCATGTAGCACAACATTAGTAACATACCCCTAAACCTTCAAATATTTCATAATAGAGAAATTGTAACATCTCACAACTAGAAAGAACTAGAAGAAAGTATAAAATCTGGAAATAGTTAATTTTGAAAAGTATGAGAAAATCTGGAAAATTTTAAGTAAGTTAAAAGTGAGTTTTTGGTCATTTTCAAGCGACCATAACTTCTAGCTCAGGATGAGTTAGAGTTACATTCAGATATGGTTGGAAAGCTCTTATCTCGACCTTATATGAGTGAGTTATGCCTTTTTGAAGTTGGGCTATCAAATTAAGAAAATGTCCAATCCGTAATTTTTAAGGGTATTTTGGTCTTTTGGCTACCCTATTATATTATTCCATTTTTAGGAATTTAATATTGGTTAGTTTTAGAAAATTAGAATTTTCACGCTAAGCCTAAGTAAAAAGGAGAAGAGAAAAGAAGAAGGGAAAAAGGGCAAAATCATCAAAATCAACCAAGAAAGTTGGTGTTTTCGCTATGGAACTTGCTTCAAATAGGTATGTGAGGCTCCCATAACGTTGGGATTGTTCTCCCACGTTCCAAGTATATTATTTCAGTTTGGATTCGTTCTCAAATCATTAGAATATTGATATCTTGGTACCCATTTCTTGAATTCATATGTTGTTCTTGAATTGCCTGAGTTGTAAAGTTTATAATTCGTTACGTCGCATTATGCGGTCATTTCGGGTTAGGTTCTTAGGTACATTTGTTGGGTATCTGTATCTAAAAGAGAATTAAGAAACATAACTGAGTTTGGGGAATTGGGAAAGAAAAACGAAGAAGAAAATTCGACGAACAAAACTGGGACATGGTCCCCTCTGTGTGTCCAACACGCAGTTTTAAAATTTCAGCTCTTCGACATGAGGTGTTCTGCCTCAAAAGATATTTTCAAAACCAAAATTAAATTATGCCTCCCCGTCGCGGACCCACCCTCAATTTCTGATTATTGGATTTTTCTCATATTTATCTATCTAGAATCATTCCTAATCATCATGAGATCTTTCTAAACAGAATCTAATTTCATGAGTCTATAATTCGATTAAAGAATCAGTTAAGAGTCAAGTCAAGAGTATTTAAAAATCAAAGTTAAGAGAAATAAAAAGTCAAATGAGAGGAGTCATTTCAAGTCCTCATAAGTCTTATACAAACATTTTAATTTTGTTTTTAAGACTTAAGTTTTGAGTTTAGTAAAGAGTGAAGTTGAAGTTCTTTTCTTCAAAGGTATAAAGGGACGAAGTATTCTCAAAGAGACTTGAAATGTTTTATCATTTAGCTAGTAAGAAAACTTTAATTTTCAAGAAGCCTAGGGCAAGCTTTCAGAAAAGAACTATAGCTTTCTAAAAGAAGCAAGCATGGAAACTATGATTTCCAAGATAGCTATAAGCTAAGTATTTTGAGCACTAATCTCAAAACCACATAATTAGTATGTTTTTAAAACATAATAGCAAGCATATTTTTGGGTTTAGTATTGAGCGCCAATATGGAAGAGAGTTCACACAACTCACAGTCCCCATAAACCATGTAACCACCATGAATAGAAAAGGTTCATACTTTTTAGGGATAATGCCCAAGTACCCCCTCAACCTTTGCCTGAAATCCCAGAGACACACTTATACTATACTAAGGTCCTATTA